AGACATTCATACAAATAAAGTTAATTTGTTTAATTTGAAAATTTCAGAGCAACATACATGAAATTTTAGCTGACTCATTATGCAAATATTTAAAAGGATAAAATATTTTTATCTATATCTTCAATATTACCATTCAAGTTTGAAGTATATACACTAAAGTGTATTTATTAGAACCATGAAGTGATAAGACAAGCTATTAAATCTTTATGGGAAGCACATAATTTTGTTTGTTGAGACAGTGTCTCATTATGTAGCCATGGGTAGCCTGGAACTCATGCAAATCAAGTTGGCTTCGAACTCAGAGACCAGTCTGTCTCTGCCTCCCCCAAAAGCATCTAACTTTTGCTTTAAACAATACCAGGCTAAGAACATAAAAAAAAAAAAATTGAATAATTTATATATGCAAATTCTTTGTAGACATGCCCTTCAGTACTGTGCTATCTAAAATAATAGATTAAACCACAAGTTGAGTAGAAAGAAAAAAATCCCACAAGCTTAAAGGTTTATTCCAATATATAAGTTTTGCTGCACAATACCCCACAAAACAATACTAATAATTACGATTATTTTTCTCATAAGCATCTAGGAAGGGCTCAACATTTAGGCTACATTTAACCATACAGACTGGCTTTTATAAAGCCCCTCTCTCTTTATATTTATTAAAGACTAGTAATAATAAGCAATATGTCTTCAGAAAAGTAAATACAAATGGTCTAAAACAACTCTCCAAAAGTAAAAGTTACAAAAGCCAGACTACTAGCCCTCATTATTGATAAGTTAATTTCTTCTAAGGTGAAACATGTTATTCTATGTTTATTTTCTTTCATATTTGTTATGTCATCACTCAATACAATACTTCCCTACTCCTCAACTAAGGCCATCATGGGAAATGAAAAATCAAAATCTCTTTTCTATTCTAATGTCCACTCCCTCTATTAAGAAGATAATTGTGAGGTCGGAGTATTGGCTTAATGAACTGCTACTTGTCATCAAAGGGCACTGCATCTAACCTCCCTCCCAGTGCAATAAACAAACATTCCAAAGTCTCAAGCACCAGATGCACAATCCTAGTGTCATACTATTTCTAAATGAATGCTGTCAGAGCCTTAAAGAACAAATATGTTGATACTGCATTTATTCTCAAGGGGTACACATTAACCCTATTTTTATACTAAGTAAAATGGCTTCTCACAAAGATGATTTCACAGATTTATGATCCCATATGCTTCTTTCACTTACATGAAAAAAATCTGTACTAGTTACTTGGAATGTCTCATCCCTATACACGTTTATTTCCTTTAAATTAGTAAACATTTGGCCCAAATTAATTAGTTCTCAATTTAAAAAGAAAAATGTGTCCCTAGAATACAAAAGGCCAAACTTCTATTGATATAGCCGTTGCAATTTCAACTTCTTTGGAAAATCAGCTTTTCTGTAAATTCTGAATTTCCTTTATGTAGACCCATGTTTACAACTAATATATATTTTAGTAGTTGGACATGTCTAATGAATGTACCATCATCAGTTTTTATACTAATATCATGTATACATGTGATTTTGTACTTTTTTTTTTGAGGCAAGGTTTCTCTCTATGAAGCTCTTGCTGTCTTTGAATTCAGGGATCCGCCTGCCTCTGCCTCCAGTGCTAGGAATAAAGACATGTGCAACCACTAACATGGCTTGATTTTATACTTTGACTACCTACTCCTTGGTAGGAATGCATTCCCAAAGTTTTAAGAATAAGACTGTATCTTGCTTGTGACTTACTCATTAATTGTAAAGTTGGCACATCTTAATTACCTCCATGATGCAATCTGTTTCTTTGGACTTTTCTTTCTTTTTTCTTCTTCTTTTTATAATCTAGCACATCATGGAGAACCCCCTCTTAAGAGTTATGTTACAGAAAGGTCTCCTTGGTCTCCCTGTACATAAGTTTAAAAATATGAAAGCCCCATAGGTTTTACATCAAGACAAGAGGACAGTGTTGTTCCTGGTTTATATTTAAATAAATTCTCTCACTTAAAAACTTCAAGTTAAAAAAAAGATGTCATACACACACACACACACACATATGAACAAGCATATTTATAGCACATTATCAAAACATGCCAGTTAGCATTACTAGTCACTAGGAAATTATTCAAATTAAACAAGACACAGAGATATATGCCACTAAGAGACCCTTGCAATTAATCAGGTTCTCAACTGTCAGACAGTTGACAGTTCACAATTATAGCCATTCATGAGTTCCTGGAATGCTACCTTCAGAGTCCACACTGGTCATTTACAGGAAACAATTTGCACAGTGCTCCATATAGGGCCAGTGATAGTTTACATCTCCTCTCATTTATAGTAAAGGAGCCTGTTAAATGTACAGGCAGTTCAAGCAAATTTTGTAATGTTCATTGAAAAAAAAATGGTTATATAATTCTTTATCAACCATCATTATAACCACCAGTTTATACAAATCCAATCTGAGAAGTCTTAATGTATAATCATAAAAAAAAAAAAAAAAAAAATCTCACAACATAAATGTAGGGTCAGCAGGCAGATAACTGAGAACCCTTTACACCGGGCCTTTTAAAGGCGTCACAGTAGTTGTTTAATATAAATGATCTCAAAACTGATTCAATACAGGCCCTTATATGGAACCAAAACCATGACAGGGCTTCAAACACATGAACCTAAAACCCACCTTTTGTTAACCTCCCATTTCCATTCTTCGTTTAAAAACAAAAGAACAAAAACCTGTTTATTAAATTTGGAATTTAAACAAAAATGAGTATTTACAAGTATTTCTTTAGGCTCTAAATGTATTAACCTATTCACAAAGTTTAATACAGAATTCCTCAAGACCTCGCCAATTTATATTAGATTTGAAGGATTACAATTAATACTGCAGGTTTTGAGAAAGTAACCTCAAATTACATGAAAAGTAGTATTTCTATTTAGTACTATTCCTTAAGAAGTATTCACCTGGTTAATTTAAACGTGTCCTGGAAAACCATTAGTCTCAAGTGCAAAACTTTAGAATGCCCTCTTTTACAAAGACTTTCCTTAAACAAACAAAAACCCTATTTCTAATTAATGGATTCAATCCTTCACCAGGTGTGTTGGTCCAGTGACAAACCATCAAATGTGTAAGATTACATCTTGGAAACCAGCATGTTAAATAAAGTTAATGGTAAAACTGATAATATGCAATGCAGAATTTAAGATTGGGGTAAAGGAAAAAAGTGGCACATTTAAAATGGAACTATATACAATCAAACCCTTGAAAAGGATCAACTAACTGATGCAGCTAAGAACAATGACAGAGCACCAACTGTAGTTAACATTCATTATATTTAGAAATACAATTTCTGAGATTATTTTACTACAGAAAGGTTTTATCTGTAGCACATGTTCAAAAGGAGTACGTTTCAGAGTTTCTACTTGTCAATAGTCTTCTGCTTCAATAATATTATTCTTTTAATTTATGAGGAACATGTTATAAAATGCAAAGTGTGTGAAGAAAAAAAGAAGATGTAATCTTCATAGGTTTTGTGTGAAATAGGAGGCTGGGAAAAAGTCATTTATTGAAGAGATAGAGGACAGTGCATAGATCAGAGAGGGTAAGTAAAAGGTAATTCACCAACTCAGAAAATATAGATTCCTGGTAGCTAGAAAAGATAAGGTTCTATTCACCAACTTGAAAGGGAAACTCCATCTGCTTCTCAAAATGTGGCCTTACCAGTGAAAAGGGGAGCAACTAGAAAAACAGAGGATTTGGTTTTTTTTTTTTGTTTTTTTTTTTTAGTTGCTTCAGAAATCAGGTTTTTTTGTTTGCTTGTTTTGTTTTGTTTTGATTTTAAACTTGGTAATCCCACCACCCATATTAAAATATTTAATGACTAGCTAGCTGACTAGCTCACTTATGGACACTTGAGTTCTCAAGTGCTTCAAAGACAACCTGGCTACAGAAATCATGAACTTTGAATTAGAAAAAGAGATGAATGAATTCCAGTAAGCATTTTAAAACTAGCAGACGAATATATAAAATAAAACAGGAATAATTAGAAGTAAAAAGCTAAGACTGTGAGGGATCACAGCATTTGTATTCCATGCTAGTCTCCTACATATCAATGAAACTCATACATTTTGATCCTTCTAGCAACTAAAATTAACCTCTCTCAAGTGTAAGAAGATAACAACTCTTTTTTCTGTAAGTTTTAATGTGGTGTTAAAATGCTGCAATTAAGGTTTTAACAAGTTTGGAATTATATAATGTCAAAGGTCTACATGACAGCTCCTAAAAAAGGACTAAAATTCCTACTTAGGCCACAACCAAACATAAACTGCTATAGAACAGTGTAGCAACACTGACTTTTATTTAAACTTACATTCTAGGTAGAGGGTGTTGGTTGCTGACATTTATAAATTTCAAAAACTATAGTTTTGTACTAATGTTTAAGCACTTCACACATCCCTTTTTTGCTTGAGAAGTTACTGGGAACCCTCAAGATTCCCTTTTGTTCAAAATCTGACTTAAGATAGTCAAAGCTAGACTTCACATTTTACCATTCACTTTCCAGTCTTCCCAAATTCCCTGATGTTGATTGCTTCTATTCCCTACTCCCCCACTCCAACTAAAAGGCCTTCTGGTTTTAAGTCTCAGTTTCAAAACTAACTCTGGCAAAACTCTGCCAGAAGCATTCAAAAGTAATTAATACCTTAGAAAGGGACATTACTGATGGGGGGAGGCATACCAGCTTTAAACTGTTAGGCTGAAATACATCAATGACGTATAAGTACTAGCCATTTAAATGCTTAAAAACAACAAACAAAACAAAAACAAGTCTCCTTACACCTCTACTTCAAAATTTTGTATTGATTTTACTAAGTTTTGAAAATAAAAAAAAATAAAGGCTTCAAGTGGAAAAAAAAATCTCCCAAAACTGTATCCTAAGCTATTTGGGCCAAGCAATCCTAGCAAGTATTTAAAATAAAAGTCTCCATACCTGTCTTCATCACCATCAACAGGAATAGCTATGCTGAATACAGAGGTGGCCAGACTGTTCATAGGTGTTAACTGAAGGGGATTTGCCAGGGCATCTGCAACTGGAGGCTTCACAACAGGCTTATTTTCAGCAATGAGAGAAAGTGGTGGTTGAGGTAGGGGTTCTGATTTTCTTCTAGTATCGTCAACTTGCCCGACTAAAGGCTGGGTCTGAGTCTGAAACTGGCTTAGGTCAGACTGTGGTAGACTTGTTGGTGCACTGTGTGTGCCTTGCGCTAAGGGCGGCCCAACTTGCTGTATGACGCTGCTGCTCCGGCTGACTGGCGTATGGCTGCTCAGCTGTTGAGACTGGCCCAGAGGCGAGGGTACATTTGGCATAGTAACAGAAGTGGTGGGCACACTAGGCACGCTTGGAGCGGGTACCGCGGCAGGCACGTTTGGAACTCCGGGCACCACGGTGTGAGGACCACCAGGCACAGCTGACAGCTGACCACTGCCACCCATCTGAGGCGGAGGCTGCACGGAATGGGGCTGCCCAGCCCCGGTAAGCCCCGAGCCTGGTTGCACCACGCCTCCTATAGCAGCTGGGGCCACTCCCGCAGGCTGACAAGGGGCGGCCTGGACGCCTGGAACAGGACCCGGAGCCACAGCCTCGGTGGGCTGGGAAGAGGCGCCCATCATCTGCGCACCCAAGGAGGAGACGCTCTGGCCAGAGCCCAAAGGAAAGCTGGCCGCAGGCGCAGAGGTCGCGCCAGCGCTGGTGGACAAGGGCTGCGCAGGACTTGGCGGCTGCAGGGCCACGTGTGGCTGCAGGTACTCACTCTGGCCGGAGGGCTGGACCGGCAACAGATGCCCTGGTGGTATCTGAGGCTGGGGATAAGCGAACTGCTGGGGGTGCTGCGGCAACGAGGAGCCGGGGCCCGACTGAGTTGCCAGGGCCACGGGCTGCGCCAGGGTTACATTCGTCGGTGGCAGACCCTGGCCAACAGGCCCCGGGAGGGTGCCGGCGGCTACGGCTCCCTGCAGCTGGGCTGGCTGAGCGGCTGCCGTCATGGGCTGCGGCCCGGTCGCCGCTCCCGGGAACGGCGGCAGCGACGCCGCGCTTGGAGCCACAGCCCCACCTACGGGCGGCGGAGGCTGCGGCTGCCCAGCGCTGAAAGTCTGCGGCTGGCCGACAGTGGGCTGGCTCATTTTCTCCGACGGGGGTAGCTGTGACACAGCAGTCAAGGAGCTGTCAGTTCCCGAGTCCAGCCCGTGCGCCCCCTGCATGGAGGCCACCACCACCACCACCGACCCTCCGGTGGCGCCCAGGCCACTGTCCCGCTCCGCGGTCTGCTCCAGAGTATTGCTGTGTCTAATGCAATCCCCGGACCTAGTGAGGACGCTGCTGTCCGAATCCCTCTCGTAGTACTCCATACACGTCCATCGGCCGCGCCGATATGGCTCCCCGCTCCCGTGGTCTAGCTTGATCACGCGGAAACGGGAACTGCAAGTGGCGGGGGGCTGAGATGGAGTTGCGCCACCGGGGCTCGGGGCGGACACCGGAGTGCTGGCCGCCGCCAAGGTCTGGGCGAGCGCCCCCACCACGCTCCGGGACGACACGCCGCCGCCTCCGTTGGCGGGCGCTGCTGAGGCGGCTGCCAGCTGCCCATCTAGGATGAGGTTGGGCGACACGGTCCCGGGAGTTTCCGCATCCCCGACATTATTGAGCGTCTCTTCCGAGGAGCTGCGCTCGCACACCTCCTCGGGGCCGTAATCCGTGGCCCGGGAAACGTCGAAGATCTCGGAGGACACGTCCTCCGTGCGCGACTCGTCCGGGTCGTCCAAGCTCTCTGTGTCCTCGGTGATGCTAGTGGCCACCTGAGCCGTGGTGACACTGGTGATCTGGAAGCAGCTCTTCTTCTTGGCCGGCATCTTGGACATGGTGGAGAAAGAAGGCTGGAGGGCAGAGGCTCCTCTTGAGATTCCAACCGGAAACCGACGAGGACCGAGCACGGGCCCCCAAAGACAAAAGTCCGACTTCGCGCCTGGGTCTACGGCCCGCGCCGCAAGTCACCGACTGCTCTGGGCGCCGGCCTCTCGGCGCGACATCCTCCTCACCTCCCGCGGGCCGCGGCGCCTCGACTCAAGCCGTCAGTGACTGCTGGAGCGTGGTCCAGGGGCGGGCCGGCTGCTCGCCAGGCTCAGCCGCCGCGGTCAGTCCAGCCCGGCGCTCGGCGCGGTCAGCAGGCCCGGCTGGGGGTGGAGCGCAGGGCGCAGGAGGCGGCGGCGGCGTGAGGGGCGGTTCTGCCCCGCTCGGGCTCCTCCGGCCGGGGCCCGCGGCTGCTCCCGCGCGGCGACGCGGAGGAAGAAGGCGGAGCGGCGAGGCCGGGACGGGCGCTTCCCGACGGGGCTGGAGGTCCGCGGTGGGAGGCAGCCCTCCGTCCCCGGCTCTAGCCAGAGCGCAGCCCGGGGGCCATGCCGGCGGTGGCAGCGGAAACCCGCTCGGGGGCGGGGAAGGCCGGCAGTCTGGCCTCCCTCAGGGAGCCCCCCGCGGCGGCGGCGGCGGCGGGCCCGGCCTCCTCGCTGCTCAGGCGTGTGAGGGGCGGCGGCGGCTGAGGGAACGGCAGGCGGGCGGAGGCGCTCGGCAGCGTGAGGGGACCGGTGGCGGCGTCTTCCGCTTCACCTCGGCGCGGCCGGCTCGTCAAGCCCGGAGAAACTGAAATTCAAACTGCTGAAGCAGCGGCTGCAGCTCCCTCCCCTCGGCCAAGATGGGGCTGAAATGGCCGCGCCAGGGATGCTGGGAGGAGGAGCAGCAGCCCCGCAGCCGCCGCCGCCGCAGACTAAAATGCCGCCGCTGCCGCAGCCACCGCCAGCGCCGCAGCCGCCGCCGTTCCGTGACGCGCCGGCGTCGTGACGTCACCGCCCCGCCCCGCCCCCTCCGGTTTCCTGCAGTTTCGCGTGGAGGCTTGAGGGGGTTCGTGGGCGGGGCTAAGGGTTAGAGAAAGGGGAGCGGGTTCTTTATTTTAAAAAATTTCAAATTTAAATCTCACGCTGCAGGTTCCTTAGGAGTTGAGAAGCCAAAGGACGGTTTTAAATTGCGAGCTCGGAGAATCGCGCGGTTCACTACCGGTGTGTGGAGATCCTGGATGACTGGAGGTCATGTGCTGTGTCTACCGTTCAGCTTAGTCCTAATGGAACCAGGGCGATAGCGGAGGAAACTAGGGCGATCCAGCGCCGTCAGAAGAGGTGTATGACTGGAGAAAACGAGTCACGTTGAAAGCCTTGAAAATATATGTTGGTCACCACAGTCAGAAAAGTGAAATTTGAGAGACACGAGGCGAGGGTTACTCACACAGGATAGCAAGCCAGATTGAATTAGAAAGATGATCTTTCAGACGGAAATTCCGTCTTCAACAACGGCATCAGGCGTGGTTACTCGCTCGAGTAAAGTCGGTTTTACAAGAGGTTAGGAATTAATAACATATTCCAAATTTTATTTAATTTGCTGGAAGAGTTCATTTAAACTTTTGAGATATTGAACATAAAATCAGCGTATGGTTTCCAAAGATGTAGAGCCTACTGTGTTAAGTACGAGTAGCTCTTTTGATCGTTCTAAGCTATTACTAGAATTATGCTATTATGCTCTACTTGGTTTGCTTTGGACCATGCACAGTGAGTGAGTGAATAGCCCTTCCTGTACTAAGTCAGACAGCAGCTCTGAAAGTGCCATTGAATTTACCATCTTGTAGCTACTTTACAACCAAAAATCTTGAGGTCATTCCTATCTTTTTTTTTTTTTTTTTTTTTTTTTTTTTGTTTTTTGTTTTTGAGACAGGGTTTCTCTGTACTGCTTCGGAGCCTGTCCTGGAACTTGCTCTGAAGACCAGGCTGGCCTTGAACTCACAGAGATCCCCTGCCTCTGCCTCCTGAGTGCTGGGTCGAAAGGCGTGTACCACCAACGCCTGGCTCCATTCATTCATTCATTCATTCATTCATTCATTCATTCATTCATTCATTCATTTTAGACCTATGTAGCTGGGCTCCCTACTTAAACCAAAGTGGCCTTGAACTTGTTCTGTTGAACCAGAGGCCTTGAAGGAGAGCTTCCTGCCTCTGCCTCCCAAGTGGGCATAGGCTGCTTCTTTGGCAGGACAAGGATGTTATTTTTTTAAACACTGGCCACTCTTGAACACTTGACATGAAAACAACCCTCATTTAGCTAAAATCTGAGAAGTTTTGCTGGAAATTGAGATGCTAGATTTATTGCAGCTTTTAGAGATCATAGCAGGGTGACATATTTAAGTTAGTTTACTCAGTTCTTTAATCTTTAAAGAGCACAAGTACTCTCCTATCCAAAAATAGACTGAGAATTAAAATTTGCACAGAATTTTTTTAGGTACTTGGATATAGTTTATGGAGATAGAGCTTTAAAACTGAGTAGAAACTGTCCTTCAAATCCAAGTGACAGAAGTCAGTATATGAACCAATACCTCATAATAACATCCCATTTCTTGAGGGGACAGAAGAGTAAACCAAAGTGTTACATTATGCTGGTATTGTGGCAAAGATAGCTGATGGAATGCTTCATTTCTAAATCTGTAATTTTAGTAATTTCTTAAGATAGTTTCTATCAATAAGGCAGAAACAGTTGACTTGTTAACCCCATGTGAATTTATAATGTCTTATCTCTCTCTCTCTCTTTTTTTTTTTCCCTCGAGACAAAGTTAACTCTGTGTAATAGCACTAGTTGTCCTAGAACTAGCTTTGTTGACTAGGCTGGCCTAGAATTCTCAGAGATCCACCTGCCTCTGCCTCCCAAGTGCAGGGATCAAAGGTGTGTGCCACCACTGCCCAGCTATAATAGCTTATTTTAATTTTGATGTTAAAATTGTTTATCGGTGGGTATTATTGACTTTTGGGAAAATAAAAATCCTATGCCTGATCATGGCATTACATTATCTTATTATATAAACTTCCTGGTGATTAGTTATGATATTCTTCAGCCACAGAGGAAATGATAATCTGTAAGCATTCTTTCCTAAAATACAGGTAAAAGAATTTACTATGAAATGAAAGTAAAAACTAATGTGGCTGGGTGGTGGTGGTGTTTGCTTTTGATCACAGCACTCGGAGGCTGAGGCAAGTGGATCTCTGTTCTACAGAGCTAGTTCCAGGACTGGTAGGGCTGTTATATAGAGTAACCCTGTCTTGGGCAGCAGCGGGGGCGGGGGGCGGGGGAGAGGGGGTGGGGATGAGGGGACAGGGAAGAGGGGGGTGGGGGAGGGGGGAATAAAACTAATATGAAGAAATGAGAACATTTCTGGTACAAAGAAAGTAGAAGATGTTTTAACAAAATTAGGACTCTTTTGTTTTTGTTTTTTGAGACAGGGTTTCTTTGTGTAGTCCCAGCTGTCTTGGAACTCCATCAGTATCAGGCTGGCCTCAGACTCACAGAAGTCTGCCTCCAGAGTGCTGAGATTAAAGGCTTGCACCAACTCACCTGGCTACAGTTTAGGAATTTAAAGTTAAAATATTTTATTTAGATGTTTCACAAAGTGTGTGTGTGTGTGTGTGTGTGTGTGTGTGTGTGTGTGTGTGTAAATTTTATGGTTTTGTGAGAATAGAATTTTCCAAAAATTTATAGACCCTACTTTGTGTATTTTCCTTTAAAAAAATATAGAACTCATGAGGCTGAGACAGGTGAATCATTTGAGCGCAGGAGTTACAGGCCAGTCTCCTCACTACCTCATCAAAACTCTGCCTTGTAACAAACAAGCAATCCCTGGGGAGGGGGAGAATTTACTACTTCAAACTGTTAGGAAGAAATGAAAAGAATTCTAGTTGTAAGGAATTTTGAAATCACTGAACGGAGTGGGGGGGGGGGGGGACTGTCTCCAAACTGTAAAAAAAAAAAAAAAATATGTAATTTATAGTTGTTCCACAAAGAATTAAAAGTCGAGAGAGAGAGAGAGAGAGAGAGAATGCAGTATATGCATGCCAGTACCTTTGCTAGTGTGTAGAAAGTTGTTAATAAATAACATGGCAGCCCTAGCTCATTGGAATTAGAGAGGTCCCTGGAGAGCCACACTTAAAGGCTTTAATGCAGTTATCCTGGCTCCATGCCCGTACCCACAAACCATGCAGTGGAGATTGTGGGCGTCCTTGACTACTGCTCTCTTAGCCCCCAACTTGACCATTTGCCTTACATCTGGTACTTCCCCCAAAGACTTCAGTTTTCAACAGTGTATGGGAAGGGAAGTACATTTAAAAAGAACAGTGTAAGGGAAAAACAACCCTAAAAAGTAAGCCCCTTTTCACTGATGAAAAAAACTGCTTCAACTTGAGCTTTTTATTATTTGCAAACAGCATACTTCTGTGGGGTCATTTTCTTATATATAAGTGCAATGATGAATCTTTTCATAATCATCAAATGGTAGAATGTGAGCAACAGGTTCTCAAGAAAACCTGACATCTCCATCCTGCAGTGAATAATGACACATTAAAGGCTGAAAAAAACAATAATACTGCAGCAGAAATTAAGCAAATATATCTAGCTAAGGAAAACAACTGTTTAGTAGGGATACCTAAACCAGTGACTCCTATTGTACATTGGATAGACTAGATTCCAGCCATGAAGTTATTCTGGGATTAAGAAGCTTATATTTGTTTTCTATGTTTTTAATCACCAAATTATTAGAAAAATACGAAATGAAGGAGTGCTTTTCAGCTTTTTAAGAAGAACCCATCAAAAATAAAGAGTTGTCTAAGCAAGTAGTCATTAGTTTACTACTAGGCTTTCCTGGTGTTGCATTTCTGAAGCAGTGTCACATTAAAAAAAAGTCCTCCAAGTGTATATTATCCAAAAAAGGAGGAAAGGAAAAAAACAAACAAACCAAAAAACAAAACAGAACAAACAAACAAAAAACCAGAAAGCTAAGGCTAATGGAAATCCCTGGCTCACTTTGTAAAGGAAAACTCAATCTTACTGAAATATACAAATTCTTACTTAAAGTTACTGTTAGACATGCCTAGTATTTGATACATTGAAATAATTATGATCTCTGTTTTGTTTTCTAATGATGAAAAGCTTCTTGAAAAACTCCAAATAGCTTGGAAGTTAAGGGAAAATGTAGCAGTTTGTGTTTTGAAGTAATAAATTTCTTGTCATAGCATGCTTTATTTCATTACTGAATTTAATATGTGATCTTAGTGAACCAAAATGTTAGTTCTGTGGCTTCACTGTTTAGCTTATGTGCTCCAATGCTCCAACATGAGGAGAAAGAACTATTAATGACTATATTACTTTATTCTTCCATGTTATATGTAGCTAGTGGAATAACATGAATTTAGCTACATTATCTGATTGGAGAGACCAGGAATAAGTTCAGTTTTGCTATAAAATTACTTTATAATTGCTGATAAATCCCTTAGTCACTTAGTTCCCTATTCTGAGGAGAAATAGCCTAGTAGCAAAGGATTACACTACAGAAAATAATAAAAGAATGTATAGTCTAAGACAATAAGGCAATGCTTTGGCACATTGGAAGAAATGATAGCACCACCTCAGGGGGCTGCTATTGGCAGTAGGATTTGTCAATCACTATAATAATTGTAATAATCATAATTATAATAGAAAGTAGTGGGGCTGGTGAGGTTTCTCAGTGGTTAAGAGCACTGGCTGCTCTTCCAGATGACCCAGGTTTCATTCCCAGCACTCACAACCTTTTTTT